GTATCAGTATTAATAAATTTTATATAGGAGATAAGGAAATTGAACTAATATGCAAAGCGTAGTTCCGTCCAACACGGAAAGTTACTACAAAACAATACTATACACAAAATCAGGTTGTATAACTAAAGTTTGAGAATAATATGTCCTGTTCCTTGTGTTGCCAAAGTTTTTTGCATTCCGATTCACAAGAGATCTTCAGGAAAATAAGGTAACCTTTGCTTTCTTCAACTGTTTGCTTAATTGCTTGTTAGGGTTCTGACATCATCACAATGTTGTTATAATGATGTTTTCTTTTCTCAGGATCTTAGCTTGGTTTGGTTTATTTTGTTTTACCGCATATCAACCACAATGGGTTATTTAATGCCAACAACATTTTTAGGATAGATTCGTATGAATAGAATATGTATTCTTTGGTTTAGATTGGTTTGGTTTATTTTGTTTGTTTTACGGCATATCAACCTCAATGGGTTATTTAATGCCGACAACATTTTTAGGATAAGTTCGTATGAATAGAATATGTATTCTTTGGTTTAGATTGGTTTGTTTTATTTTGTTTTACGGCATATCAACCTCAATGGGTTATTTAATGCCGACAACATTTTTTGGATTATTGCGTATGAATAGAATATGTATTCTTTGTTTTTTTATTTATTTATTTATTTTTTTGTTTTGTTTTACTGCATATCAACCTCAATGGGTTATTTAATGCCGACGAGATTTTTATTGCTGGTAATATTTTTATTCAAAAATGTATTGCTGGTAATATTTTTTCCTTCAAAAATGTATTACTGGTAATATCTATTTTTTTTAGAAATGTATTACTGATAATTTTTTTCAAAAGTGCATTGCTGTAATAATATATTGCTGGTAAACTTTTTTTTTCAAAAATTCATTGATGGTAATAATTTTTTTCAAATCATTAAAACCTTTTTTTACTTTTTCATAGGTTTTTGACCCCAGTTTGGGGTCAACTATTTGCCCATAGCTGGAACCCTAACAGGTGCTACCACTCCGGGTCAGGGCGGACCCGGAAACACCAGTAATCAAGAAATGGTTCCACACTCCTCAAAACCTCCTGATCAGATGCCTTGCTATCGCATGTATTTTATCGTCTTGCCCCGGACAGGGATGTAGTTTATCGTCGACCAGGATCTTGTCACTCAAGTTAATTGAGAAGACACATCCTTTTCGTACATCTATGTATGTTTTATTCATCCACTTAATTCATCCTCTATTCAAAACCCGTTGATCGTCATGCCTGTCTTGAGAACTAAGGTAGTAACACCTAGAATAGTAAAGGTCTGAGATAAGACAAGAAAAGAGAGAGTTCGTTAAAGACACCAGAACAAGGAACTCGATATTAATTCTCAGAATGTTATCAGAAAGAGTAATACAAATGCACCTTTTATAGACTACGCAAAGGCGTTCGAAAAAGTACGCTACAAAGATCTGCTAGAGCTGATCAGCAACCTTGATATATTCAAGAAAGACATTAGAATAACCAAAAACCTATACTGGCATCAAACTACCTGCATAAAGATAAAAAATGAGTTAGATATACAAAAATAAAAAGGGGCGTAAGGCAAGAATGTGTCGTCTCACCGGACTTATTCAACCAATACAGAGAGGTAATTTTGACAGAATTTGAAATCATACCAGTATTCATCGTTGGCGGCCACAATCTTAGCAACATAAGATACGCAGATGACACAGTCCTGATAACAGACACGGAAAGGAAACTACAAAACCTCCTAGAGAAGGTAGCGAAGGAGAGCAAGAAGAAGGGACTACGTATAAACGAAAAGAAGACAGAATGCATGGGCATCAGCAGAAAGGTGTGCCCGAAATGCAGGTCTAGGACACTTAAATCAAGCAGGTGAGGAAATTTAACTATCTGGGAAATGTTCTGACAGAGGACGATAATTGCAATGCTGAGATCCGAAGACGCATTGGGATGACGAAAGACACATTTCAAAAGCTAGGCGGAGTATAACCAAACAGGAGGGTTTACGGCATCGAATGTTTGTCCTCAAATATGGAGAAATTGGAAGCAACCGAGGTATGGTTCTACAGAAGTATACTAAGGATATCATGACCGAACATGTAAGAAAGATGGGGTTTAGGTGAGGATGCAAACAAGGAGGAAGCTTATACTTGATATCATGAAGAGGCGGCTGAAATTTCTGGGATATGTAATGAGGAAGGAAGGCTTGGAGAATCTGATACTCACAGGGCGAATAGAGGGAAAGAAGGACAAGGGAAAGCAACGCCTGACATAACGGGCTTAAGCAAGTGGATGGCAGATCTGGGTCTGGAGGAAATAATAAAAATACAAAACTTATTGAGAGCTAGAAGCGACAGGAAGAAAAGGAGAGCCATGACCGCCTACGTCCTGAAGGTTCACAGCACTTAAAAGAGAAAGATTTTTTTAATGATATTGTAAAACTTTGCAATGTCATGTTCTCAAAGCTCATCCATCAACTTCAAATGTGATCTATCTCGAAGAAGCCTTACTAAGAGTGAATCTTTTATCAGTTGTAATCAGTACAGCAGTTTGTTGTTCTCCCCTTCATTCACAACAGCAACTTGCCAACAACTGCGGGGCTTTTCCCTAAAGTTAATTTCTCCTTTCTCTCTAGGTTTGCCATTACATCGACTGACATCGTAAAAAATTCATTAAACCCCTGAAAATGTTTGCAGCATTTTCTCCTAAAAAAAGAAAATATAACAAAGCTCTTTGTTTTCTAGGTGTGTCCTTTTTTTTTTTAAAGAGGTCACACGTACAGAAATGAAATCAATCCTTCTTTTCCCTGGACTTTTTTTTTTATAGATGCTATAGTTTATATCTAAAAACAAAAACGAATGATTCTTATATTTTTAAAATTACATTCGCAGTAGCGAAGATCTTTGGAAAACTATCAAAATACAAAACTGAACAAGAATTGAGGTGAAAATCTCAGAAATGTGGCACATGAAGATTCCAAAATTTTGCATTTGGGGCTGGGGTCCTGGGTTTGATGTGAAAAAAAAACTGCTGATAGACTCATTGATCCATGGCTTCCCATACCTTACAAAATATAAATGAATGTTCTCACAAGCATAGCTCACTCCCTGTAAAGGTATTTATCTATGTAAAATTTTAAGTTGTTATATATATATATATATATATATATATATATATATATATATATATATATATTAGGGATTGGACAAAGTCCGACAATTTATTAAAGACATTTTTTTGTGTTTAACATTCTTTTATAGATACAAGTATTTAAGTAAATGCACTGTTTATAATAAACAGTATTAAATAACATTTACCAGCCTGAATGTCCGAGAAATTTTCATAGAAAATATTCGTCCTTTGACAGGATTCGAACCTGCATCTTATACTGTAAATGACGGTTCCGTATTGGATGTCTTTAATATATATATATATATTTTTTAAGGCTTATTTTATCTCGACCATTTTTCTTTGCTTTGAATATTGGTGCCACGTCTAGTCTGGTGTTCTTGCTATATATTTAGAGATTCTTGATAGAATCCAAAGAAGAATTTGCAATACTATTGGTCTTGGCTTGACATCTCGACTTAAGTCTCTTTCCAATTGAAGTAACACAACTTCCCTGTACTTTTTTTGCTATGGTAACTTTTCGCTAAGGTACCTAGACTTCATGAATTTAAACGCAGTACTAGATTGGCAGCAAGGTCTCATCTTTTTACACTTGAAATGGCTAAATGTAACCCTAAGTTTTATGCTTCCATTTTCTTCTATCGCACTTCTTGCTTGTGGAATTCTCTTCTGGTTTCTTGCTTCCCATCCAATTCTGATTTTTTTAAAATTTTAAATGCAATGTCAGTCGTTAACTTCTGTCTGAATTCTTGTTCTTTTATTGTCCTCGCTTCTTAATAGCAGTTTTTTTTTCTCATACACTCTAACACTTAACAACACCTTGCGTCCTAGTGGCTTTATTGCCATGCTTGGAGGCTAAATGATTTTTTTTTAATGTATCACACTAACGAGAAGGGGGAAATGTCATGATGACATTTCTGACCTTAGGAAATCTGGTTGCGTCCCGGAAGCATATGAGGGCACGACTGAAATAAAAAGGAAATAATAATAATAATAATAATAATAATAATAATAATTGTGTCAGCCCAAAATGCAGATTCTGTGATAAATATCCAGAAACGATTGATCATCTTGTATCAGGTTGCACGATATTGACACCCACTGAATATAAAACCCGACTTGACAGAGTGGGTAATATCTGCACTGGAAAATCTGCAACTTCGGGAAGGAAACTGAAAGAAACTGGTATGAACACCACCCAGACCCGGTTAGGACCTGTTACAATTCTATGGAACTACACAATACACACTGACAGAACAATCAAGGCCAACCGGCCAGATATTGTTATTAAAGACCACAAACAAAAACGATGCCTCCTTATTGATATGGCAGTCCCTGCTGACTGCAATGTATCTTTGAAGATATTCAAAAAGTTGTCAAAGTACAAGGACCTTGAAATAGAAATCTCGAAAATGTGGCATATGGGAACATCAACAATCCCTGTTGTAGTTGGAGCCCTAGGACTGGTTGGAAAAGATTACAGTCGACTAATTGAAGGGATTCCTGGAAGTCCATGCCTCAAGGAGATACAAAAATTGTTCTGACAAGTACAGCCCACACCTTACGAAGGGCCTTATCTATTTAATTTTTTTTTTTTTTTTTTTTTGTTAGTGGAAAGTGTCATGACGCCATCTCTAACCTTATGTCCCTGGGCGGGACCCGGAAAGAAATGTGTAAACGCCAGAAATCAATAATAATAATAATAATAATAATAATAATAATAATAATAATATCATTTTCGTCGTCTTTGAAAAATATTAATCAAGAACGCAAAGGGGGAAAACGGTATTAGGTTTGCTCTGATTATCTTCTAAAAAGACGAAGATACGATTTCGGAGGATAATTAAATGAAAACATAATCTTATTAATGTTTATTTTTCTTTTACATCGGAGTTCTGTTTCTAACCATCATCCTAATTTCTTTCCCCTTCTCGGGTCTCTTTTTTTCTGGGTTGAAGCCTTGCCTGCCTATTTATTACCCCTCTTTCTCGTATTGACTTTATGCTATCGTATGAGACCTCTTTTTTTTTCAGAACGAAACTCTCTTTCTCTCTCGTGCATCGCTTTTCTCCCTCTCATTCACTCTCTCTATCTCACATCTCTTTTTTTCTGTCTCTCTTGCTCACTCATTTCCTCTCTCTGTCATATCTCTTTATTCTCTCTCTCTCACTCTGTCTCTCTCACACATTTCTTTTCTCTCTCTCACTCTCTCTTTCTCTTACACATCTCTTTTTCTGTCTCTCTCTCATTCACACACTCTCACATCTTTTTTCTCTCTCTCACTCTCTCTCACTTACTCTCATGCATCTTTTCTCTCTCTCTCTCTCTCTATCACCCTCTCTCATCTGTTTTTCTCTCTCTCTCAGTCACTCCCTCTCTGTTTCTTTCTCTCTCGCACTCTCTCTTTCTCTCACATACGTCTCTTTTCTGTCACTCTCACTTATTCTTTATTCTCTCTTACACACCTCTTTTTCGCTCTCATCTCGCACATCGCTTTTTCTCTCTCTCTCTCTCTCTCTCACTCACACACTCTCTTCTCTCCCTCACATCTGTCTTTTTCTTTCTTAGTCCCCCCTCTCTCTCTCTCTCTCTCTCTTTCTCTCTCTCTCACACACACACACACACTCTGATCACGCATTTTTTTAAAGCATCTCATCTCTTTCTCTGGTGATATCCTTTCCCCTACCACGTCTTTTTCTTGGGTCGTCTTTTATTTTTCTCTCCCCCCACCACAACATCTCCATTTTTCTCTCTTTCAAATTCGATATTTTCTTTTTCTTCCTGTCTCTTCTCGGATCTCAGCCTCACTTTCTTCTCATTTCCATCTTCACGTTTATTTCTCGTCAAATCTCCGACGTCTTCTTTGCTTTCCGCTCCTTAAACACCGCCCAGCCCGCGCCCAACGAAAAAAAAAACATCATTAAATCAAATCCGCTATTATGAAATTTCACAGAGAGTTTAAACATCGGGAAAAATTAATTAATCTGTTGTCTTTGTCCCACTCGAATTAATCCTGGATTAATAAATGGATTAACGACATCTTAAACTTATGCAAAGCTTTTACGAATTTACGTTATCAAAAATAACCAAGAAAAATAAAACACATTTTAAGCAGACCCCACTCTTCGAAAAAGCCCATCACCTACTAATAAAGAGACAAAAAAGAAATTGTTATTTATTTACAATTTCTACATTTCCGTTCTGTTCTTTATCTTTGTTTTTTTTTTCTTTGTCAGCCAATGAACATTGAAACTTTAGGATTTTGCGTGTGTTTGTTCTAATGGAGTCTTTTTTTTTCCTGTGTTGTTTGCGATTTTAAGGGATGGAGAAGAAACATGTAAATGAAAATGCATTATCGTGTTTTATGTTGTAAATTAATTTGAACGGAAATTAATGACTGAAAAAGGAAAGCGATTTTTCATAATTAGAGAAACAAAAGAAAATGATAAACAAAAACGAACATAGTAACAGTAGCAGTATTAGTAGTAGCAACAGTAATAGTAGTAACTAGTTTTTAAACTAGTTACTACTAGTAGTACTACCACTCTTTAGATTGGTTTGTGACACATCTATTTATCATCTCTCAGTTGTGTCTCTGCGATGTAATGAATATGCATACACCTGGGTTCCCCCTCACAATCATATGATTGGCTGGTGTCAGCCATAAATACAGACTGAGGTGGAGGTACAGGGACGGCGCCTATTGTCTTCGCCTGTTGCCTACGCCTATTGCCTACCACTACGACGAGGACCAGTCCATTACGGTTACCTGCTAGATTGTCCTACTCGGTTGCAGTAGTCCAAAACTACTTTGCTACTTCGAACAAATATATCCCTTCCCGGGACATATCACTCTGTCTTTAATCAGAGTGCTCTCAGGGGCGACTCCGTCAAAGGACAGAAAATTATAATGAGAGGAGCCCAGCTCTGGGGAACAGCTGCCCGAGGCCGCGCCCTCTCATAGCATCAGAGAGAGGGATCGGTGCTTGCACCGAGGCCAGCGCAACAGACGAACAATTTCTGTTCCTGGCCCGGGTGTACGCGCTCGGGTCCCCACCTTAAAAATACTTTGTTTCACAACTCGTCTTAGTAGTAGTAGGAATAGTATTAGCAGTAGCAGCAGTAGTAACAGTAACTAGTTTTTACACGTGAAAATTTCCCGGTATTCCTATTTGAATTTTCTGATGCATCTTAATTCTTAAGTTAATGATTGAGAAATCTCATAGCGAATTCTACGACAACAATATATCCATGGAAATTCCCCTATCGCGTTGTTAAATATTTGAGCTTAACGACTTTTAAAAAATATTTCAATAGCATATATGTGTACATGAAGATAAATATATATATATATATATATATATATA